TCTCATCTCTGTAAAAATAGTTGTAATAGCTAACCCAATATAAAGTCAATAAAGTATCACCACAAGTATGGCCTTAGAAAAAAAAAGACAAACTATTAAAAAACAATTTTTTTATATAAAAAGACAACAAAAAAAGTTAAAAAAATTATAAAACTAATCTGAATTAATAATTAAAAAAGAAATTAAGCTTAATATTTTTTACAAATGTTTTAAAAATTAAACAATATATAGAACAAAGAAAAAAAAGTTCTTAAAAATTAACCAATAGTGTAATATTATATGTAATGTTATACAATTAGTAATAAAAAAAAACTACTAAAAAAAGATAAAAAAAGCAAAACTTTCAAAGATACTAACATAATTAAAAAAATAAATTAATATTAAAAAAATAAATATTAAGATAGTATTAGTAAACAAGTATATAAAGAAGCTTAATATAAAATTATAGTACATTAATTAGTATTAAAAATTATACATAGATACAACTTAGAAAAAGTAATTACAAAAGTTAATAGAAGATTTAAAGAAATGATAAAAAAATATTTTATATAAGAAAATCAAGTAAAATAAAAACTTTAAAGAAAAAATAAACTGAAAAATATATAAAAAAAAGATATTAAATAATTAATAATAATTAAAAAAAGTTTTTTTAATAAACTAAGTAAAAAGAATACAAATAAATAGACTAATAATTAAAGACAACAACTAAAGAAAACTCTTTATTAAACTAGCAGAGATTTTAACTAAAACTAAAAAATACTAAAAAATTTGCTTAATTTTTCAAATATTATTTTTAACAAACAATTTACTAATATATATAAGTTAGAAATAGTATTTAATTAATTATGGATATTATATTTTTTGTAAATTGTTATTTTATATAATGGCAAATAAGAAAAAATAACTTTTAAAAAATTATGTCATAATTCTTTAAAATATTGTTATTAAATAAATACTTTATTAACAATTTAACTTATATAGACTTTTATTTTAAATGCTAAATACACCTGATCATGTATTATTGTATACTTTTTTTATAATTATTAAAAATGTTTCTTTTAGAAACTTATTAACTTTGATTAGGTTTAACTTTTTAAATCACAAATTAAATTTATAACTATTGTTTTGCATTCTCAAATATGAAATTATTAATATAAGTATAAATGGACAAATTTGTGTTCATTTATATGTATTATTGCACATAGTTTTTAAAAATATGCACTTCTTTTTTTTTTATCAAATGATACAAAGGTGCCTAAAATCACAATTTTTAACTTTAAGCATGGCAGTAATAAAAAAGATTTAATATATATCAGTATATAAAAATTTTATGCTTATAAGTTTGATCAAATGTTTTTTTATTGCATGTTTGAAGCCAGTTAATTAAGTTTTACTATTGTTCGAAATAATCAGTGTAATTACATATAAATAAAATGTTCATTTTTTTTGTTCAGATTAGAGAGTTGACTGTAAATTGGTTATTTTTGTAAATATGCAGAGATATGTAGTGTAACCAAATCAGAAACTTTGATTAGAGTGTCCTCCGCTATGCTTCAGACAATAAAACAAAAGACAACACAACACAAATTATTAAAGACAATACGGTTACGATGTCAAAAGAATCTTGTCTCTATGTGCCACTTCCTAATCCCTTCATGAAATTAAATGTTCTAACAGATGTCCCAAACCTCAGCGAAGATAAAATTATTTTGTATTACCTTAAGTGGTACTATTGGCGAAGGTTGAATTCAATATTTACTACGAAAAAGCCCATTCAACGCTTGCCTATGCAAGATCATGGATGGTAAATTTAAAATGATACCACCATACAGTTCATACACCTGTCGGTCTAGTAGATAATTCAAGAGTTTTCCCTCTAGTATATGTACTATTGACAAATAGAGCAGATGTTTAAGATATTAGCATAGTCGACTTCCACCTCATATAATGAAGAGCCACAAAATGCAACATTATCAATATATAAGTTTTGTGTTATCAATGTTTGCACCAATCTTCCACATTTGTGGAATTACCATTACCTTTGACTAAATGGTATCCACCAGATCGATGGTGCCTTTGGGCATTATCTACTGTTTGAAATGCTTTTTGCGCGCACTACAATTTTTGATAGAATATATGAAAACACTTTAGTACGCCTTTCAAGAATGCCTATATTATATCCATAATCCTTGGCGCTTTTACCATCATATGATAATCAAGAGCAATTTGGTGTATTAAAGCTTCAAATATCACCAGAGATATTACAGTGGTTTACATTTGGCATAATTACATTTATAGAAGAGCACATTGACAACTTCGAGGTGATATTCCTTGTATGCACCCACTATTTTCACCACAACTTTAGTCAATACATGATTCAATCGTACCGAGTTCTTAAAATTTGCACAGGCGATGAGATTTTGGTTGGCCAAAGTCGTCATCCAGGAGCCTACAAAATTGCTGAACAGCTAAACACTAATTTCAAGTTAAATGTATTACATATATATGGAAAGAGAAAGAAGAATAATATCCATTATTAATGATCGGGTAAACTGCATTTTCTTTATTATAGTTTTTAGGTAAAAATCCAGTTCTAAAGTTGTTTGCTATTATTATTTGCTTAGCATATATTAGCATTTGGCTTTTTTATTTTCTAATTAATTTTAATATTACAATAATATTATTTTTTAATATACGTATGTATATATATATATAGTACATAAATAAGATATTAAAAATATTTAGTAAAAAAGAATAACATAGTCCAAATAAATATAAAAATTTGCCAGAAAACTGGAGGAGAAATGTTTACACCACTACTATGTTTAGGAGTTGTTACATTATTATTATTATTATTATTATTATTATCTGTACTAACAGAATTAGAATTTAATATTATTTTTGTTTGAGAAAAACCAACACGATAATTATCAAAGTCAAATACACTATAAACACTTGACAAAAATACATCACCAAGTAACCAATAATTAGCAGTATTTGGCTGTATGCCTGAAACACATATCGGTGATCGATTTGATTGATTAACACTTATAACAAATTCGATAGGATCGATTGAATATGTTCCACTATCAAATGTAAACGAAATTACAGATTTCGTATCGCATGGAACAATCCAAAGCTCTTCATTCTGTTGTCGATAAAGTCTAGCACCAGGAATTTTGGTATGAATTAAACTAACTACTGAAGGAATGCCGTAAATTAACGAAGTTCCTAAAAATAAAACAAATTATAAATTATAGTAATAATTAAATTAAAAAAAAAAAATCAAATAAATAATCCTAACCAGTATCGATAATAGCTGGGGCAGGTTGAAAAGGACCAATGGAACTTCCATCAACCATAATATCATTTAATGGGATCAACCAATATCCTACTGAAACATTTGCAGTATTATATCCAATAGAACCCACAACAGCATTTTGATCAACACCACCAAGTGTCATAAAGCTTATATCATTTGAATTATTTTTTTCTCTTGCCAAATGAAAACCAATTATGTTTTGAGATAATTTTTTTTGAGCTTGTACTGATTGCATAACACCATTCACTTTAAACCCAGCAACATTTAAAGGTCCAAGACCAATAACACCATCTTCTTCCAGATCTCCATAAGGTTCATGTGTTACTAATCCAAATGTTTGTTGTGTGATCGAGACACCACCGAATATGACGGTATCTTGACCTTTATAACCAACAACAGACTGACTGTCACCAGTAAGGCCATAAGATAAGGTAAAGTTTTCCTTGATTATTTGAAATGTAGAAGATTTTGAAGGATCGAATCGATTATGATTTCCACATTCAGAAGCACATGAAATATCTGGGATCCAAAGATCTAAAGAACCAGTGTCATAAAGCACAACAAAATTTTGATTACCAATTGTTATAGGGCCAATATAACCCATATCTTTATCCGCAAGTGTTTCATCTTTTAAGGTTATGTTTGAAGATTGACGCTTTTCTAATCTAGAAAATTTTTTATTTTTGAGAGTATTTATTTTAATGTAATCATCTAAAGTTCTGCTATGAATAAATTTTTTTTTTGTAAGAAGAATAGTTATGAATCCTGAATCATCATCCTGTTTAGCATTTGTATATACATTAAGTAATACCAATAATGTTGTAAATAGTATAAGAATTCGAAAAGTTTTCATTATAGAAATATTTTATATTTACAATATATTAAATTTTTGTTGTTAAAATTTAAAAGATGTTTTATGTAAATACTTTGTTATGAAAGGTCCGAAACTAAACTTTTATTTAAAGGACGGACCTTTCATTTATTGTTGTCCGGAGAGTAGCGCAAGGTATTAAATAATTAGTAAAGGTGATATAAAGGTAACATTTTTAATACATAAACAATTACCATTTTTGATTCATCTTAATTTACTTGTTAAGGTATATAATTTGAAGCGTGTCTATATTTGTAGTTTGTATAACGAAAACAACACGCGTTTATATACGTAATAAACATTGACACACAAGACTGCACATTAACATAATTAATATTGATATCGATATAGTTCTAGGTATAAGAATTTTGATATGTATTTGGAAATCTACCATCGTCAATCATGTGAAATACTTCAATTATCTCGTAATACTCGTAATAATAATTGACAAGATCTACGATGTCGAAACTCATCACATATGGCGTGTTACATATTAAACAGCCCATTTTTACTTGATTTAAATGATCTACAAATAATAATACATATAAAATTTTACTATGCAATTAGCACGTATGATATATATCAAACTTTTTTATTGAATAGATATCTATTCAAAAATCAAATAAATAAATTTTCAAAAAATTTAAAAATAGGCTGTTTTAATATATAACACCCCATATGAGTTTCGCTTAGAAGGCCAAGAATTCCAAATATAGATTATTATATAACAAATGATGTAGCACCTATTTTTTAAATCAAAATCCCTATTTATTATTTCCGAATAATTTTAATTCAGATAATGGGCAAAAATTTTCATCAAGTTCCGTGTGAGTTCCACGAAGGCATAAAATAAGGTTGTACCAGATCTCAAGTATCGTTGATCAGAAACGGTTTAATGTCCTTTTTAATTCGTGCTAATTATCGGTTCAAATTGTGTGTAACAATGAAATATAAATACAGTAATATGCAAGGAATTGTTAATAAGTAGGTATTAGTCAACGATTTGAATTGATTATAAACACTAACTTTTAAACATAGCAATTGGTTTCCAAAGTATATAATGATAATTTCCAAAGTATTATGATAATTTTTGACATATAATTTCCCAAATAAAATTTCATTATAAATTTGCTGTATTGTACTGTACGTGGCGTAAAAATTATTACTGTAACTCCGAAAATATTTTGACATGAAGTTGCCGAAAATATTATTGCAACTTAATAGTGACAAAATACTTTAGGCAAAATCTACATCATGTACAGATAGATGTATAGGTTATGTCATTTAACATACCTTGCTAATTAGCGATTATAAAAATTTGGTTGTATAAATTGACCGGGGTAAAATCGCCACCCAAAAAAGTTTCGAAAATCATGGATATTGTCATTAAATATTAACATAATTGTAGTAAGTAATTTTTTTCTTCGATACTTCAAAGTGAAAAACGATTGTTAAAAGCATAAATTCAATAAAAAAAAACTAGTCTAAAACTATGCGTTGATTGCCGTAACCAAATTTCCACTAATAATAAACGAAAAAAGAATGAAAATCGAAATAAAATAATAAAAACTAATCAAGAAAATGCAATTGCATCAGAATGCTTTTCTGGAAGGTTCTAACGCTGATTATTTATTTGAGTAAAAGGTTTAGCAACAAAAAATTGTTGAAGAAAACACAATGAACCCAAATAGTAACAAATGGATGATTAATTTATTGCTTATCGAGATTATTTTGTTAGTCTGAATTTTTGTTTGTGCTCGATATATTAGTCATGTGATGTTCGAAACTTTTTTGGGTGGCGGTCTATAGTATCGTTATTATTATACTGAATACTTGTGCTCGATTGAAAACATAAAGAAGCTAAACTATGAATATCGATCACAACATTTTATGGCTCTTTTGAACCATATCTTATTGTAGTCAGAAAAGTAAATTGAAAATTTCTTTGCATTGGGGCGTAAGATAGATATACAATCGAGTTTATGGGCCACGTGATGATCAACAACAAATTTAGCCAATATAAATCGATCAAAACAAATGTTTGTTTTGATTTCATTACAATAATTGGTTATTACACTAATTTCAGAACTTTATACGAAATATTTGAATGAAAAGTAAGTATATTATTAACAATTATTTGATGGAATATACAAATACTAGACGTGAAATTTGTATATAAGTAAGGCGAAGAAAGGCCGACTGATTTATGTGATGGGAGGAGAAGGGATCAGTTATATACCATTCTTCGCCAAAAAGGTCCACCGATTCTGGGTGAGGAAATCGGTTACGACCTTTTCTTATATAAAAATAACTTCGTTAATGTATTCTTGGTATTTACCATCTTTTTTATTTTATTTTTGTCTAATTATGCTTATTGTGAAATGTTATGCATTTTTAATTTTAATTTTCTTTTAGTTAAGTGAAACTTTGTATGATGCAAAAAATAAAACCCAAATCCGATGATGACAAAACTTTGACAAATTTATTATTAATTTTATTTTATTTGCGTTAATTGACATATAATTAATATAAGTAGTGAATTTACGACCGGGGTAGAATCACCATCCAAAAAAGTTTCGACAATTACGTGACAAATATATCGAGCACTAAAAATTCATGTAACTTAACAAAAAAATATACAAAAAAATTTAGACTAGCAAATAATAACGATAGAAGTAATAAATTAATCATTTTATTTATTTCGAATAACTCAATAAATTTAATTTTTATTATAGCTAGAAAGTATTACGATTACGGTTTTTTTTGAGTATTTGGAATATTCTATTGCCAGCCATTTGTTACTATAATATTTGTTTTCTTTAATAATTTTTGTTGTTGCGTCCACATAGGAAGACTTTCGTATGATTGGCTGGTGTAAATCAATTGCCCGGGTAACTTATTTATACACTTTAAAGTAC